TATACATAAACTCCTGGATGGCACTGCTAATCTATACATCCCAGAGTCCCCTCCTCTTTTTGTCAGCTGTGGCCTTTCTTGGATTGCCCTGGCCCTCCACCGCTGACTCTCCTGCTTTCTCTCCATCTACAAGTGTCATCTTGCTTCACGTCCCTCCTAAACCAGTTTGCATTCCATGGTTTTTGAGTCACATTCCAGCTAAAAGGTAAACTCCTTTGCCCCTGACAAGGAGACACCACCTAACAGGACCCCAAACCTGAATCAGCTGTTTTCCCCATGCTGGCAAAGAAGACCATTGGAGAAAGAGAAAATAGGGCACATGGGTTGAAGATTTCAAAAAAAACGTTGCTCCTCGGCCTCACGTGGGCCCTCTACACTGTCTGGCAACCTCACTAGTTGCTGATGTCGACTTCCCTCCCCGTCTCTGCCACAACTAATTCAAATGTTCCCACTCACCCTGAATTCATGTTTTCATTCAAGAAGTATTTGTTGAGCACTGATTTTATGCCAGGTCTGTTGCTTCATACTTCATAGAGGAACTAGAGGCCCTCGAAGGAGACCAGTCTCTTAACCACCAAGTCAAACATTCTCCCTCCAAAATGATGTTCCCTTGTTCAAAGATAATCCCTGTCTTTTGTTGCAATGTGGATGATGACTAAAGTTCTAAATCTAAATTTAAACAAATCTTTAACTACATAAGGATAGGCAACGATCTGACAGCCAATTTAATTTCATAAAAAGAAGAAAAGCTTGACATATCAGACTTATATATCATTCTAAATCAGTACTTTTATATCTATAATCAGACAACATTTAATGAAGTGAAAATTCTGCCGGCATGAAGCTAGTCATAATAAAATTAGACTTGGTTTGCTCTTTCATGGAGAACATATTCCAGATGTTTAAGTGATTCAAAGAAAACCCACAGTATAATGGCTCCCTTCAATGTTTTCTCACTCACTGCTTCCAAACTAGAATAAAATCTAATGAAATTCTGGTAGTATTTAAATAGCACAGGATATTGTTCCAAGTTAGCTGTACTTTTTGACATTTTATGTGCACTGTTTGATAATTTGAACATATATTTATATGTGCGATATTAAAAGCTCTAACATTGGAAAGATAGTCAAACACAATGTTATATCCACTTAAATGGCACTGTACCCATATTCATCTTTTACATAGTACACCTGTGACATTGTTTAGGGGGGCCATCCTTCTTGATAGGTATGCTTCTAGGCTCCGACAGTCTACAGTGGTGAGCCATCCTTGAGTGGTATTGCACTACCACTAGAACCTAGGGCAGATGCCAACGTGGAGACTGACTTGGACACTCTCCTACCTCGTTTTTGTCTTCCTCTTTTCTGCCACCAAGTTACCTTCTTTCTTCCATTCTCGTGTGCCCTCATGATGATTTCTAACTGGCTCCAGTTCTTCTATCAGGCCCATGGTGATATCTCCCCAGAGTCAAAGTTCACATCAAATTATCACTTGACCAGGTGACCTCCCCACCCCCAATCAAAGCTTCCACTTATCCTACCGGAAATGTAATCCAGATTAAACTAGGCACATGCCTTTCCCCGCCCCTTAGTTAATGATGATACTAGTAGCAGTTAACAGTGGTAGTAAAGTAGCAGTAGTAAAATTTATTTCCTCTATTTTGACTCAAAACCTGGAGTTCAACAGTTCACTGAAAAAGTCAGTTAACTCAGAGAATCATAAAAAGTATGTCTTAAACATTTTTATTCAATCTTAAAATAGTCTCCAGTATTTTAGTGTCGTGTGAAGGTCTCTTCTTTAAGTGTAGGTTCGCTGATTAGATTTCTCCATAAATCACATTGATGATGAAGACTTTGATTTCCAGTTCCAGGTTCTTTAATGTAGACAGAGTCCATCGGGACACATGGAAGGCATCTGTATAGAGAACCCTTCTAAATTCTTCACATTATTTTCCTCACATTTTACAATCACCGTATCTATGCCTAATTCAACAGCGTTTACTTTTTCTTTTTTTAAGCACCTTTCAACCTGGTTTTCATAGAAATAATGACTTATTTTCTTTTAGACTTAAACTTCTTTGGGTTGTGAAATCTTTAATTAAATTATGTAATTGCAATGCTAACTGGCAAAAACAGATTCGAGAACATACCCACAACTGACAAGTCAACTAATGAGAGCTGAAGGCTGTGCGGGCTCACAGATAGCTCTAACATTTTATTTAGAGGCCGTTAGTTAGAGGTCTCAGTCACTGTGTTTCGCAGGGAATGAAGACTGACTACTCTGGTGAGTCTTAAGTGGAGATCAGTTAAGAGAACTACTGTAATTGCTAGATAGGAACAACGACAACAAAAAGAAGCTGTATGATCCTATGACAGGGGTGGGGGGGTGGGGGATAGAGAGGAGGGAGAAAGAGAGAGAGAAGCAGAGGAGGAGAGTGAGTGTTGTGATTAATCCTGCATATTGGAACTTCATTTTTAATCCCCTTCATCCTCCAAAACACCAATGCAGGATTAAAATCTGTGTTGACTTTGGGGGGAGGAAGTGAAAATCAAACTCTTGCACTAAAAGGCATTTGAACACGTACATTATGTCATCCAAAGGGAGCTGAAACCTACATGTGCCGAACTGAGACAGATGCTCAACTTAATGGCTGAGAGCCACACTGGTGAAGGCAGATGATTAGCATACCGGGTTAATCCGCACGTTTGTCGGATTCTGCCAGGCTGTCCTGCCTTTTCTGCCGAGGTCTCCCGTTTACAGTTCCCACTCATACGATACTTACTTACGGTTGCTAGAAACACACGTTATTATCCGGAAGAGAATGGTTCCATTTTGTAATCATTGCCCTTGTCCAGGCTTCTCCATTGATATTTAAGAAATCTGTTTTCTAACCTTTAATTACACAAAACAAGGTAATTACGGATCATTTCCTTTTAGAGATACGAATTTACATTGATAGATTTTTACCTCCTGCCATAGGATTCTTTTAATCTGTATATTTATTTATAAGGCAATGGGATAATAATATTTACTGTCATTCCCTATAAAAACTTACTCAGTTTCAGACTGAGTCCTATGACATTCCACTCACACAAAGTTGAATAAAGATCAATGCATAAAATAGGATTTTTTGCATATGTGTGCTCAGATAGAAGGATTTGTCTTGTTTTCCTTTATTTTTATTTTTTATGTAATTCACAAGCCATAAATGTGGCCTTTAGGGGCACATATATATATATATAATATGTAATATATATTTATATTATGTAATATATATTATAAAATATTTTAATTTTTATAATATATATTTATAAAAATATATATTATAAAAATTTATATTATAAAAATTTATATTTATATTTATTTGTCTTAATTCACTCTTGGGGCACCTGGGTGGCTCAGTCAGTTAAGTGTCCAACTCTTGGTCTCGGCTCAGGTCCTGATCTCACAATTCATAGGTTCGAGCCCCACACCAGGCTCTGTGCTGACAGCTCGGAGCCTGATTGGGATTCTCTCTCTCTCTCTCTCTCTCTCTCTCTCTCTGCCCCCCCCCCCAACTCATACACACACTTGCTCCCTTTCTCTCAAAAATAAATAAATAAACATTAAAAAATTCACTCTTTTAAAGTGTACCATCCAGTGGTATGTAATATATTCACAGGATTGTGCCACCAGCACCACCGTCTCCTTGCAGAACATTTTCATCTCTCCCAAAAGAAACCCCATGATTCTTTAACATAAAATTTTTAATGACCGCTTTTTTAAAAACATTAAGTTCGATAGAGTTATTATCACATAGTTGTATTATCTAAGAACTAGAGAAGCATCTTATACTCCAGACAAACCACATTTTAGTGGTGAGACATTCAAGTTGATTTGACAGTTTGACAGGGCAGTGCCATCCTTATTTAGAACGTACCTCCTGGCTCCTTGTATTTGGAGTGGGAGGAAATTTGGAGGGTTATAGATGAGGTCGGTGTAAACAGTGGTTTTATCAACGTAGGGAACCAGAGAAATAACACCAGCCCAGATCAAGCAAATCAAAGCAGCACACAGAACCGAGTCAGTGATGTTGTCCTTGTGCACAGACATTACATTACACAAACCGTTCTAAGTGAGGGAATTTGTCCCTTAGAAATTGCTCATTGGAACATTTGGACATCATGCATCATGTTAAAGATCCATAAATGTCTTCTCAATAGGGGAGCTATGATGCATGGTAACATCCTCCTCCCCCTATCTGCATAGGGTTCTTCTACTCACCAGATTGCCATGATGCATTGCATCAGAGAATCCCATGCTAGTGCTTCAGAGACAGCTGAGAAGCCCCGTGGGAGCCTTCCTAAGTCATTGCTACAAGGACTAAAATACCAGGGGACCAGGAAGTCATTCTTAGGGCTTGACAAAATACCCTAATCTCTAAATGAATCTATTTATTATGCAGTTGGTGCAAAATATGAATGTAATATTCTATGACTGAGTATACCTTTTTATTGTTAAAAAAGGATCCACTTCTGGTGGGAGATGAGTAGAATTTAGAATCTAGCAATATATTTTTCCCATTACTGTCCAGTCCAGAATCTTTTTGGAGAGGCGTATAATAGTTAGAAATATGTACCCGGGAGGCAAGCAAACCTGGATGCATGTCCCAGGCTCCTCAATTTTGACCCATGGAACCTTGGACAAGATATAACCTCTGCAAGTTGTTTTCTCATGTGTAAAGTGAGAGTTCTCTAACTACCAGTCTCATAGGGTTATTTTGTAGGAATAAAACTGGATAATGCAGACTGAGCTCATCACAGGATTAGGCACCTATGAAATGCTCAATACATATTAGGGTGATCATTCACAAATGATCAGGGTGGTAATACCACTATGATAGAGCAAGCGTCACGGACACTGCACCCAAACAGAACAAGATTATCTTGTAGTTCACATGTGTCTGTTTCTTGGCTTTTAGTGTTCTCATTTTCCGCCTTGCCCTTGACTCTTTCCTACAGGTGCTTCGAGGAGAAATTACACCTCTGAAAGAGAATGTCAGCTATGTCAATGACCTTGCTCGCCAACTCACTACGTTGGGCATTCAGCTGTCACCATATAACCTCAGCACTCTGGAAGACCTGAACACCAGATGGAAGCTTCTGCAGGTAGGCACATTACGAGCCTGACAGTTCCTTATTACAGTGAGACAGTATACGGATAAAGCTCGTTTGTAAGGAACAACGAACGTAATTTCTTCTTGTGGTGTTCACGATAATATTTCGTGAATGTAGGATAGTTTATATTCTGTAATAAGTTCTTGTGTAATGTTTTAAAACCTATTAATTATAATTTTTGTGAATAGGTTAAAGTTAGACTTTCCTATACCTTGCAATAAACAGGGAAAATAATGCTGAATCATGATAGAAGGACTTAGTTACTGCCATACAATTACTTTATGCTATTATTGCTTAGATTCTTTAAGCATCTGTACCTTTGGAATCCTAATTTAAGCACCAGTCAACGGTAAGACATATCCTAGAATCCTTTTAAAAAGATCATTCTATCTCAAACCTACACACGCAGGTTTTTTATAGGTTTGCATTATAAAAACAGGGACTACAAGCGTGCTCAAGGTCACATTTACTAGCTGTGGTCCCTTGAGACCCTTCTGTGCTTCAGTCTTCCATCTGAAGAAAATGAAGATATTAAATGTTTCTAAAATACCAGTCTTATTATTAGGATGAGTAAGTCAAAATATGTGGAAAGTGCTTGGAACAGGACTGGTTACATACTAAATGCTACATAAATTCTAGCTGTCGGTGTTATTGCAGTTATGATTATTATTATTGCAGCACACAGGCTTTGGAATCAAACTTACTGAGTGATTTTGAAGTCACCTGTCCTCTCTGATTATCATTTTCCTCATCTCTATCTTGCTTGCTGTAATATTAAACAAGCTGTTGTAGAGTTGTTAGTTCAGTACCTGGCTCATAGTAAGAACTCTAAAAAGGTCAAGTATCTCTATGTTCCCTATGCGAAGGACACTGTTTCATACCCCAAGCCCGAAAACTGATTTAACCATAGAATTAGAGAATTGTTTTCTCTTCTTTGCCAGTTTCATAGGATGCAGAGAGTCTGCTTCTGAGGACAGAGAGGAAACTGGGTTTAAAAATATTTGCTTTCAATGTTTCAATAAGAAAAAAATGATAAAGCAGATAACTTTTTGTATTGGCAGCCCATTTAGGGGTGTGATTGAAAGTCCTGTTAAAGAATTTCTAGACCTCTAATAAAAGCAAGTTCCAAATCCAAGACCTCTTGAGATCTCATATAATTTAGTTCTTGTTGTGATGGATAGTTTGGAAATATTTGTATGATAGATTGTTATAAGTGGCATTGACCAAAGCAAGGCAGTATAGTTACACGATTACATGCCTTTCTGTGTCTGTTAGTTTCATAGTGGCTGAGTACTACTAAGACCTTATCAATTTCATCTTAATATGTTTTTCACTTTAAGCATAGATAAGGAAATAATAAATGTCCAAGGAAAACCAGCGGCCATATTTGTTCCATTCAAGCATTCCTGAGCTGGATCTTAAAAGTTTTTTTAGAGAACCAAACGCTGCATTTGCTTTCAGAATGTAGTAATGAGATTTGTGATCCTGACATGTAAGTGTACAAATGAGGTCAAAAGACTATGACTGATAGGGAGTGGTTTTAAAAATCAGTGTTAAGTGATCCATTGTCACACTCTTATTTTAGAGCTAAAGTATGAGAAAATATCAATAGCTTAATTTTCACTTGTTCTTTAAAATGCGTTAAGGGCTTGGTTATAAATATAAGGCAGTACATGAAAGAGCTGGAGTAGTGTAGTAACAGGTGGACTGTAGTGAATAGTAGAAGGCCTGACTTCACACTGACACTCGGCTATTCTTTTACTATGTTGTCCTGCTAAAGCCATTTACCTGCTCTCAGCTTTTATTCCTTCGTTTGTAAAACGAGACAGTCCATTTGGTCTCAGGTCATATCCAGCTCCATCCAGTGATTCTGTATCTGGCTATCTGGGGGAGATACACATATGGCAAAAAGTTAGTTTAGAATTATTACAGTTGCTTCCTCTATTCATACTATAGATGTGACTTGTTAGAATTGTGTTTCTCCTTCTTTCGTTTCAACTTTTAAACCCGTCATCCCTAAACCCATGTATACACAGCCTCCTCATACTAAACCGTTCGACAAGTTTGCGGTACATGCTCTTATTGTGGCAAACTTCACATGTCACTATTTTTGGACCTGACCTTAAGGATATGCTTAAAAAGTGTTTTCAGCAGAAAGCTGATAAATCCAAGGTTTGGGGTTGCATGTAACTGAGTCCGTGTTTTTCTTTGACCATAATCCTAACCACTCTGCTCTATTGTCAGTGTAAGTCCTCGTTCAGAAAGGAAACAAAGCCAAGAAATGAGGTTCACATCAAATAATTTCATCCCCATTACTGGAAGAGCAAGGCCTATGTCCTATCGACAACATTTTACAGTTAGAGTAATGTATCGGACTAAAGGATCCCCCAACTTCTGTGGAGGGAAGTTTGAGCCCATCATCATTATAACATTATATTTCTATAAAAATGAAGAATTTAGTCACTTACAATGCTATGTCAGTTATGAAATCATGATAAAAAAAAAAAGTACCTGTTCATCTCTGCTTCTTTGTCTACAAAGACAAAGAAAACACGAGAAATATAGAGTAAGAGTGATGGGGAGGCACATATAAACCTAAGAAAATGAGTCTTAAATTTGGGCAAAATAGTGTAATAGAACACATAGAGTTACATAGTACCAGGCTCTATCTACTTGACACCAGAATATCCTGGATCTAGTTACACAACCCATTAATTTCTATTCTAAAAGAAAGCCGTGCTGTTGTGGTTTTTTTTTTTTAGCTGTGTGTAATATCAGTCAAACTGATAGAAACAGATAAGCCACGTAGATACGACAACCATAGCAGAATGTAAGAGACAGCCATGGTTTATCTATACACTGAAATACAGTGTATAGAGAGCTCTGAATTTATTTGGAATACGCAAATAGAAGTTCAGAGGCATTGGTCTCCCTGTTTGAAACTCGGTGGGAATGAGATCCTATTTTCTCCCTCAGAGGAGACACATTGGTAGGGATGTGTGTACTAGACCATGTGACATGCGTTTGGGGCATAGGAAACCGTCATTCCTTGTAGTTACAAGGAGTTTTCATGGACATTATCTCATTTAATCCTCAGAGCATTATAAGGATTACACATTATCACTATTACCTTTTACAAGTAAGGAAACTGAGACATCGAAATAATAACTGACACAATCACAGTCACAGGCTTGTGTTGGTCAAGGTGTGAATCAGATCTTCTGAACTGTGACCCTCCTCTGACCTTTTTGTTTCTTCTTCTCAAAGTTCTATGTAGTTTGAACTTAACACAGTCATACTTCAAAGCTGGGTTGGGCACCACAGACATGAAAAACCTCACTTTTTCCATGCTTATCCTCTTTTTCGAATGATTCTCGAGGATATTAACTTTGAAATCTCCCTTTTACAAACCAGTGGCTTAATGAGGCCCTCTGAGTGTACCCCTTAAAATTCACACCTGTAGTTCCAAATATAAAATGTTAAAACATTATATTCTTCCTTGTCTTTAGCGTTCAGCAACTGTACTAAAATCAGCCAAAAGTGATTTTAATGAAGTAGCTCATAAAGCCGAACCAATGATAATATTTGATCCCATAGACTTGAGTATCAAAACCACATGGGAAGAAAATTAAACTGATGATAAGGTTTTCTAATTTTGAAGCACTGCATACATGTTTAATGATGGAGTCAGGCTCTTCCCTCACCAAGCACAAGTACTATAGAGAATATTCTGCTCTAGGGAAGTACTGCTCAGCAATGTTCTTACCATCTCTTCACATTATGAGTAAACCCAGGGAGAGCAACAGAAGCTGCAAATAGACTTTAATATAAAGAGCACATGCTTTGTTGACTGTAGGATGTATGGAATGCAATCCCTTGAAAAATATCGAATATGAAGACATTTCCAGGTATGACAGTCTCTGTATGTTTAAGGACAGTCTCGTGAATTATGTACGGTTTTTTTTTAATGTTCTTTTTATTTCTAGGAGAGAGAGAGAGAGAGAGAGAGAGACAGCGTGAGCAGGGGAGGGTCAGAGAGAGAGGGAGACACAGACTGAAACAGGCTCCAGGCTCTGAGCTGGCAGTCAGCACAGAGCCTGACGCGGGGCCCGAACCCACGAACCGTGAGATCATGACCTAAGCGAAAGTCGGACGCTTAACCGACTAAGCCACCCAGGCGCCCCGAATTATGTACATTTTTAAAGGTTTCCTAAGATTCTCCCAAAGTCAGGCAGACATACTCCATCTTTACCTCTGTGTTAACTATCTACCAGAAAGATCTAGACCCTCATCTTCTGCACACTCCATTCCTTCTTTCATTCTTTCCTTCTTTTACTCTGTCAACTATGTACCTAGTACACACTGTAATTGTCCTATCTGGTCCAAGGACATACTGATCCAAATCCCCTTTACTGTCTTAGGAAAAAATTTATAGATGGATTTTCTTTTATGACTTCCATAATGGCCCATCCTTTCTCCCTTTCTCCATGTTACAAACCAAAAAATAGGCTATTGCAGCACTAATACTATAAAAGTGCTACCTTTCCAGGTATCTGACTTGCAAAGCCTTCAATAATTTCTGACTAAGAATCTGGTCTACATAATAAAACTAGTAAGATTTGTGGAAGGAGATGGGACCCTAATTAGCTAACCAACAGAAATAGTTGCATGGCTTTGTTTTTTAGAAGTTGAACAAGAGTTTTCATTGAAGAATTAAAAATCGCAGCTGAGCAGCTTATGGTCTTTACTTTGGTGAGATAGGTTTCCAAAGCAGGCTTCTATCTACATATATGTACGTTTGTCCTTGTCATCGAGCATGGGATTGGAGCCTTTAAATGTGTTGACAGATTTTAAACATTTTCTTCATACTCTTATTTTTAAGGATGATGTACTAAGCATTACACATTATGGGGCCCCTTCTAGGCAGGGATCCTAGGTGAGCCACGCCATCTGCTCTGACAAATAATGTGGACCTTTTACTGAGGATGAGG